AAGGTTTTAGTGTGCAGAATGCCTTTGTTGTAACTCAAGGGCCACGTAGGTGTATAATATTTGGATGTCAGTTAACATAATATGTTGTGTTCTCAGTGCTTTCCAGATGCCCAGCAGTTTATTTTAGTAATTTTAATTTTATTAGAGCAGCATCCTATGACTCGGTTGCTGTACAGCTTCTCTGGGAGCACTCACGTGAAAATCATTAAAGCCTAAATGGTCTTGGCAGGTAATCTCACTGTCTTCTCATCTTCTATCCCTGGGAAGGTGGCCCTTGTCGATTGTTTAAAGAAAAAGAAACGATTTAAAAAAAAAAGAAAAAGAAAAAGAAAAGCTGTTTTACCAGGCACAAGTAACAATGCTACACCCAGATCCCTGCCCTGTTGAGAAGAAGAAAAGGCAGTTATCAATCTGTGCAGTGGAGCTGTACCTGGGGAGGATTTGTAAAGAAAACTGGCCTCCCAGGATCAGGTGCAACAAGGCCCCAGCCCTCAGGGCCCTCTACCCTCAGTCGACCCCAGAGGGGACCCGGCCCCTCCACCTGCGATGGGCAAGCCTCCCAGACGTGCAGCTGGGGCAGCTGTATCTACTACAGCCACTTCCTCTGCCACTTTAGGGTGACATGGGAAATGAGGAGCTGGCAGCTCGGCCCCCAGCTTCAGGACAGGGGTTGCTCTTCCAGGGAGTTCAGTGTGAGGCAAAAAAAGAAAAAACAAATGCAAATAGGAAACAACTGCAGTGACAAAGGGAAGCAAGCTCTCTGAATTGTCAGACCCCAGAGTTTTTCCCTAGGTAAGGGGACAAAGGAAAGAACTGTAAATAAACAGTTCAGAGGTGGAACAGATCTCAAGGCACAGGACTGGGCCTTCTTAGGGATGAAGAAACAGAGCAAAACAACCTTGACAGCTGTAGGTGACATGAATTACGAAAGGATGTCACTAGCTCACCTTGGAAGGAGTGCTGGTAGCCCCACCCTGAATTTCTGGGTGATGCCAAGAATTTCCTTGTCCAGGCACCCTTAATCCCAAAATATCTTAGAGAATCTACCAAAAGTGCCATACTCAAGTTCTATGTCTTGATTCACTAATTCTATGGGTCTTCAGTTTAGGTCTTTAGCAAGAGTCTCAAAGTGGTTCTGATGTAGTTGGGCAGGATCACATTTTGAGAATCATTGGCTTAGACTCTGAAGTCAAGGTTCTTGCAACTACACAACTCCCTCCAATCTACGGCTCTACAGACATTTTCATTTAGTTTATGAGTCTCTATGGAGAGCTAATTTTCTTGGGCTTCTCTTTCTGGTAATTTCCCTTTTCTTTCAATGTCTTAAAATTTCATGTAAGAGCTGGAATGATCTGGATAGGGGATTATTTTTAGTTTGGCTTTAGTGCAAAATTCCATCAAGACTTCTGTATACCAATTTGTCCCCTTTGACTTAGGTATAAAGAAAAGACCCATTCCTGCTCCATTTGAAAGTAGGGAGGGGTTTTTGTGTATTAATAGGAGCAAGTTAATGTATTAGAAAAACAATGGGCCTATCTCTAGGATATGGATGTAGCCTTTTATTTTTACCTCATGGCCTGAAATCATGTCTTTATCTACATACTTACCTAGCAATGTTATATCGTCTGCGCCTGCCATTGCTAACCATTATGCAGCCATGTTTCCCAGGCTCACTTGTAACTGGTAACTGGCATCTAAGTCGGTTTGGTCAGTGGAGACACCTGGGGAAGACTGGAGGTAGGAAACCTGGGAGAAACTTCCATTTTCTGTCTGTGGCTGCACCTCTTCCATGGTTCTAGCTCTCCGCGGTTTCTCCTTCCATAGTCCCAACTCTTGCTGGAAAGTTTCTGAGCTAGTTCTGGGAACATCACCTTCTCCCTGTGTTCTTTCAGTCTAAGGATGACAGCAACTTTCTGCTGTTGCTAATCCCTGGGTTGCTTCATCTGTTTTGCTTCGTAGCCCTCCAGTTATCTGTGTAACAAATTCCCCAATTAATTCACTCTGTTTCAGACACCTAGAGAGGAGAGCTTTCTGCCTCCTGGCTGCATCCTGACTGATTTACTGACCACAGGGAGGCACTGCCTTGCGCAGAGCCTGATAGCATTTAAGGAAGGTGGTGTGGTGTCTTATAATGGATCTGGACTTAGAATGCTGGGATTCGAATGTTGACCACAAGCAAGTGACGTCATCTCTTTGGACCACTGTTGCTTTGGTTGTGAACCACCCCCAATGGGTAGACCCACGCGAAACTTCTCTCTTGTCCCCACGATAACTCTCCTACAAAGCAATTTAGATTGTAATAGGTTTATCGAGAGCAATAGAAATATCATGTATGATCTGCCTCCTGTTACGACTTATTATAATTACTCATTATAAATGCTCATTATATATAAATACTCATTATAAATACTCATTATAAATATAAGCACTCTCTTATGCTGAGCCCAGGCATAACTTCACTGATGCTTTGCAACATAATGATCCTGGCAAAGGATCAGATTTGGCAAACAAGTCCAAACCCACTTTCCACCCAAGATTCCAAGTCTTTACTTTTTTCAGATTCAGAGACCAAGGCTGAGGGAGGCTAAATGCATGTCAGATGCAAGGGAAAATACATTTTTTATTTTAGAAGAATGTTGAAATGTCAGCATAGCTACTCTCACATATATATGTGTATATTCACATACATGTATACATACGTGTATATTATATACATGCACACATGTATATGCATATGTTTGTATATTGTATGTATATACATGTATGTGTATACATGCATGTTAGTGTATATATACATGTATGTGTGTATACGTTTATGTGTGTGTATATATATATACATGTTTATATACACATGTATTTATATTTAAAATCATAGAATTTGTTTGACTGGGGAAGAGAGCTGAGAGGTCATCTAACCCAATACTTTTATTTTATGGATGGAGAAATTGAAGCCCACTTCCTGAAAACAGAGGTATGTGTATAAGTTCTATGGGGAAATTGAAAGAAAACAATTAAAATGGGAGTATTTATTTTTTATTTTAAGTTGTTAGTAGATCCTCTTTTTGGTTGGCAAGTGGCTCACCACTGCTAGATGTGCTATAATTTTTGTGCCTTTATTTTGATGATTAATATGCCTATCAATTTTATTTTTCACTTTTGGATTTTGGGGAATGGAAAAGTTAGTTTGTCAATTGTCACAGAAAATAGAGGGAATGAGAAACCCACAAATGGCTTTTGATATCTCTTAAAATTTGCCATATCTCAAGTCTGGTGAAGTGAGCCTGTGTTAAGTCCCGCTGAAGTCCTATCCTTTCTAGTCCCATGTAGGGGGTAAGAAAACAAAAGATGGCAGACAAATATAAAACTTCTGGGATTTACTTTGGCAGCTCATTTTTGGCAGAGATGATGGGATTGCAGAATATATGCAACTCTGTTTTACTTTCTGTAATCTGTCTACCTGCTGATTTTTTAACATAAGTGGTATAACAGCGATTGCCATAGATTTCCCATTCATTGTAAAAATGAAAGTGTTTGAAATGAGGAGCAGAGCAGCTGATTTGTTTGGTTACATTTCGCAGGGACAGTCCATTCCCATTGTATGTGCTCCAGATGTTGGTGAGCATTAAGGCAGAGCTTTTCAGAAACCTGAGGTGGAGCTTTTCCCTGCAGTTGTGTCCAGTTCGTTATTGGTATGCCATATGTGCTCCCCAACTCACCCCTCTGCTATATCAATTAAAGCCTTTCACTTTCTTTCTCTCTCTCTCTCTCTCTCTTTTTTTTTTTTGCTGTTGTTGTTGTTAAATTGTGATTGTCTCTGTCTTGAGCATTTCCATTTAAATGTTTATTGTTCATAACGCACAGCTCCTGAGCCGTACCCGCTGGAAGGAGGGAGGAGAAACAGGGCATCGATCTTACCAGCTGGGTTTACAGCGTCATTGTCTGGGCTGATTTTATGAGAAGAAAGCACGTGGCAGTGGAAGAGAGAAATTGCCAGGGGGGTAAACGTGTCCTTTGAAATGCCACTCTTGGCTTCCTGACAAGGCAGCAAGAAAAAGTCTATGGTGGATTTATGCAAGTACGTGATGGAAAGGAAGCCGGGGCTGACTTTTTGGCAGGGAGCTGAATTTTCCCTTCTCACGTAGAGACTAGCTTTGAAGGAGGGCACCTCCCTGCGTGTGCAGGAACATCATTATGTATCTGCTAGGCTAAATAGAGGGTTTGATTGTCGGTGATGCAACACTGCAGGGTCAGCCAGGCTGCAGGTAGAGCCAGAGAGACTCGGATCCCACTGGCCAAGCAGCTTGATTCGTCATTAACTTGGCATCCTGAACATCAGCCCTAGTCCCAAGTGTCCAGTAGGCCACCTGTTTATTGACAGTGATCTCAGCCACCAACCAGCTCTGTTCTTCCCTGCCTCGGGGAGAAAGAAGGGGCAGTATCCTGAGGTTAAAGAAGATGCTACTAAGTGAGGTATCACAAGAATGGAAAAACAAGCACCACATGTACTCACCATCAAGATGGTATTAACTGATCAACACCTGTGTATACAGATAGTAGTAACATTCATCAGATATCAGGCTAGTGGGAGGGGAAGGAAGGGATAGGTATATTCACAACTAATGGGTGCGGTGTGCACAGTCTGGGGCATGGACACGCTTGAAGCTATGACTTGGGCTGGGCAAACACAATATATATAACCTAAACATTTGTACTCCCGTAATATGTTGAAATAAAACAACAACAACAACAAAAAACAAGATGCTCATTGAATTCAGATCGCCTGTGTTCAAATATTACCTTTGCTGTCTACCAGCTGTGTGAGACAAGTAAATTTCTTCATTTCTTTAAATCTCAGTTTCCCTGTCTATAAAATGGGCACAAAACTAGTATGTACATCATAGGATCATGACGCTTCAGGAAGTTCATTTATGTACAGAAATTTGCAGTGTCTGATCCATACTGAATGCTCAGTAAGTGTTGGCTTTTTTTTTTTTTTTCAGAGATCTTGTCATGCATTAAGAACATCATATATGCACCAAAGACATGACCAGGGGACTCAGACCATCTTCTACCCTCCAAACCTCAGGGACATTACACTGCTCAGGAAGAGGGAATCTCTGGTGGGATACTGGAGGTTTGCTTTTCATTTCTGTTCTTCCTCCTTTCTGTAGGAAGTGTGCACTCTCTTTCACAGTGGTGAGAGGCAGCCTGGTGTCTTCTTCTGGGAGACACCTTTGGCCCTGAATGACCGAGCAAGCCAAGGGTGGGACCAGGTATAAGGAAGCGCGTTCCTGTCTGCTTAGGGCTGGCTCTGACAGGGTCTTAAAGTGTGAGAGGGATGAAGGGAACCATGAGATTTTTGTACCACTCAGGCCATCTCAGCTGGATATCAAAGAGAGAGAGTGGAGCAGGAGCCCTGTTAAGAATACTGTGACTTCACTGGGAATAGCACTTTGGTTTTTGTATCTTAGGGACAGTGTTGTAGTGGGATATTGTAGAAGGCTGTCAAGATCACATCTGACCACATGATGTGGAAATTTGGTTATTTTCTGATAAATTTGGCCTATTATACCAAACTAGAGAATTCAGGGCTGTTTCCCTACCCAAATTTCCATAGTGTTCCTTAAAAGTACATCTTTCTGAGGTCACGCACATATTTTTATTTTGGGATAAACAGGGGCATTGGAGTCTTGTCAAACACATTTTATTAATTAATTTAATGAACATTTATTGCACACATGTTATGTGTCAGGAAATGCAACAGGCATGGGCTACGCAGCAGTAAACCAGACAGGCACGGGCCTGGCCCTCACAGAGCTCCCAGGCGGCCATGGCAAGTGCAGCGTGGGAGTTTGTCTGCAAGATGGCTGCCATCTATCTCTTCCCTCCTTTTCTCAAATGTTTTTGCTTTCACTGGCTCAGGGCCTGGCCTTTAAGAGGACTGCTAAGATCTATGCTCTCCATTTCTATTTCTCAGATCCCTGGCCCGTCTTTACGAAGTCTAACTACTCTGAGATGTCCATGCTGTGAGGAAGCCACTTGAAGAGGCCATGCAGAGAAGAACTGAGGAATTCGACAGATACGCTGAACCTACACCATGGACACGTGGCCCCAGCTGGGCCACCCCTGTCCCTCCAGCTGTTTGAGCAACTCCTCTGTGTTCTCACTCTTGACCTACAGAATCCTGAGCATAATAAAGAGGTGATTGTTTTGTGTCACACGTTTTGGGGTGGTTTGTTAGGCAGCTGTAGGTGGCTGGAACACTCAGTGTCTGGTCCATCTTTGATTCTCTAAAGCCAACTTCAATGAGGAGCACATAGTGAGTGCCCAAAAGAAATGCGCTGGACTTTAATGAACAGGAAGGAAATGTAAGGAACACTTTTTCCTTACATTTGCAACCCTGCATTTGAGGACTCCTACATTTATTTGTCCTGAAGAAGAGTCAGACCCAAACTTTCCAGAGAAAAAATGACAGAGAGACGGAAATTAGGATATAGTTTAGACTGACTCCACAGGATCTGATTTTTCAGAGCACCCCAAGGACAACCTCCCTCTCTCTTCACCTCCCTATTCACTATCTACACCTTTCAGAGTTTCAAAATCAGCCCAGCCTTCACATGTGGATTCTTTAAAATCTATTGTTTAGTTTTAATTATTTTAAGACAGGGTCTCACTGTCTCATCTAGGCTGGAGTGCAGAGGTGCAATCATAGCTCACTACAGCCTTGAACTCCTAAGATCAGGCTATCCTGCTGCCTCAGCCTCCCAAGTAGCTGGGCATGTGCCACCACAGCCAGCTAAGTTTTCTGTTATTGTAGAGGTGGGGTCTTTATATCTTTCCCAGGCTGATCTCAAACTCCTGGGCTCTGGGCTCAGACTGTTCTCCTGCCTCAGCCTCCCAAATTCCTGGGGTTATAGGTGTGAGCCACTGCCCCCAGCCAACACATGTATTCCTGAAGATGTCCCACATGAGGTTGAAAATGCCCTCACTCTGTACTAAGGAAGCTCTGTGATCTCTGTCAGAACATTAGTTCATGTGGAGGCATGCTTGATTCTTCACCATCATAAGCTCACTTTTGGCCTGATCCTTTTGGCCTTGAACTTGGCTGACTCTCAAACTCTTCAACTCTGACACTCAGCTTATCCCTTGTGACGACCTTCATGAAATCCATGGTGAACCAATTAACTGCTCTGCTTCCTCTGGGTCTTCTAAATCAACCTTCCTTGGTTCCTGAGACTCCCTCGTGTTCTGTGCAGAGTCCTGGTGCTCCCATGAAATCCACTGTAGCTTCCCAAAGGAAATTTTCTGCATTGAGAAGGACATACTTCAGTGGCATCTTGCCATATTTTCCTTCTGCTCCTTCCTCTCCCCACAAATGGGATTTTCTGCGTCCCCTTCCCCATGGTATAAACAATGAGCTCATGATCACTCCTCCTTAAGTGCAACCACTTACTTTGCTTTGCTTGCAAAATTACAAAGTAGCTAATCTGTTAAACTCATGCTACCTAAGGTGCTAACTGTTGATAAAAGCTTAATATATTACTGTCCCATCCGTTTTACTTCTCTCACTTTCTCTCTCTCCTCTTTCCTCCTCAACTTGCTTTAAGTTTCTGCCATCCTTTTTTTTTTAACCTCCCTTTACTGTAAAACTTCTCAAGTGTCATTTGTGCCCTTTTCTTTCCATACCTCACTCTTCAATCTTTACTAGGCCGGTTCTCTGTCCACCACTCTATTGCCACACTGTGTTCTTAGGAGGGACAGGCAGGAGAAGGGAAAGTGCCACGGGACTCATGAGAGCAAGAACCTCATGGAGAAGGGGTTGTCAGCACTGCCAAATGCTGCAGAGAGGGGTCACAAGAAGCTTCAGACTCAAGATGCACCATTGAACTAGCCAGTTAGGAGGCCTGACTTCTCTGTGATTCTTTTAGCCTTTCTCTCATACTGGACACCTCATCCTGGCAAGATGGCTGCTGCAGCTCCAGACATCCTATCCCTTCAAGGCAGGGAGAAGAAGTTCCATCTGCTTTCTTCCCTTGCTCTTCTTCCTCTTGGTGCTTCCAAATTCTACTGGTTCTAAGGAGTTCTTTCTTCAACCTCTTTTCTTTATTCAGACTTGATCTTGCAGTGACCATATTCACTCTTATAGCCCTCTCTTAGGACCTCTGCAGAGATGACTAAAACACCAATATCTCTGATTTTAATGGATCTCCAGTGCTTGATATTCATATCTCCAACTGCTCACTGTACAGCCTGCTGGGACCTTCTATGGGTCCCTCAAATCCAACGTGGACAAATAAATTATCTCCTTTCTCCTGGTCACCTAAGCTTTATGCCTTTTCCACCTCTGCACATTTTCCCATTTCTTTTTCCCTTGTGTCCAATCATCCCTGTGGCCTGAGAGAGTCTTCTCCCTAGATGCTGCTCACACCTGCATCCTCTGTTCCATCAGTGCTGCCCTCACCTTTGGTGGGGGCTTCATCGCCACTCACTTGTTCTGCTGCAATGCCTCCCTCCTCTGCATGCCAGCCCACTCTGCACTGCCAAGTTTAGCCTTCACATATACAGTCACCACTACCTCTACCGCCCTGAGGGAGGCCCTTCAGTGACTCTCTACTCTCTGCTCAGTTAAGACAAGCACTTACTTCATCAGGAGTTCTCAGCCATCTTTGTTCAGCTTTATGTATCATTGTGCCCTACTGAAGCAGAACTGGGCTTCTTATTTTCAAGCAAGCACAAGGCTTTTCTGCAATTAGGACTAAGTTCATGAGTGTTTTTTCCCCCTCTAGAACTCTTCTTTTCTCCATGAGCCTATTTACTTTCAAAGACCATCTGAAGTTCACCTTCCTCCTCCCACCTCATCTGGTGCAAGCCCCCTTCCTCAGCCCATCCACTGCAGCCCTTTCTTTGTCAGAGCTCACAAAGCACTGGGTTGTTCTTGATGGCAGTGATCACCGGGTTCTGCATTGCAGCTATCTGAGCACAACCCTGAGACCCGTTAGCAGCCTGTAACCTCTCTGAGCTTAGGGGCTGTGGACACAGGAGGAGCTGGCTTAGTATTTGGGAGACTGAACTGGCTTGACTTCAGCTGAAGCTCAGATTGTCCCTTGGTCAAGATTGGTCAAATCTCAGAATCTCTTTCTCTTCTCTTCCTCTCACTATCTCCCTGGAGCCTGGCACTCCCACGCACACCTGGGGTCATATGCAATTTTCCACCTGCCTTCTGAGCTGGTGTACCTGGTTCCTAAGCTTTCCTTTTTCTTTGCCTCCTCCAAACTTGGGCTCTTTTCCTTCAAGGTTTCGCTCCTTACAGGAACTAACCTTATAAACTAATGCAAGTGATGGTGACAATCAATACAAACACAATCAGAAACAAGTTACCGTTTGTTTGTAGGTTCCTTGACTGCAAATTGGCTTAATGGTTTGTTTTTCCCCCTGATCCACCTAGTTCAGGATCTTCACCATGATCGCCCATTTGTGTCACTACAACAGGCCCCAGTGGCTTGTCTCCTGTGGTTCACTCTCTCAGCCCTGGAATCTCACCCGTTGCTTTCTGACTTGTGTCAATGTATGGCTATGGTCATGTTTGCTCATTCGGAATCTCCCTGACCCTCCACTGTCTGCAGTTTGCATTTCGAACTTCTCGATCTATTGCCAGTCTTCCATATTCAGATTCTACGCTACCTTTGCCTTCCTCCTGCTCATTCTGTTATACACATTCCCCTTGCTTAACTCCTGTGCTTTGGTCCAGACTTTCTCCTACATCATTGTCTCTGCCCCCAAGTCTTCACATAATGCTCCGGGGTTTCTTGTTTCAAGACATGGATCAAGTTCCACCTTCCCCTGGTATGGTCCTCCCTGCTGATCTAAAGCCATCCCATCCTTGGCGCAGGTTCCCTTTTCTCCTTGAAGCAGTCCTGGATCGTTCCCCCTTTGGAGGGCTCTAATCCTTCTCTGCATGGCTGTTTGGCAATTAATCATGCACTGGCTTGTGACATTTCTTGTAAAGCATTGAGCTGTTATTTATCTCTTGTGTATTCCTTCACTTTCCTTGAGTTGATGTCTCATCTCTTCAAGATCCCCGAGATCACAGAGCATCTCTCTGGCACTTCGGCACGCTTTCTTTTTGTCACCCTCAGTACCTTGCTAGCTTGTTGTAGCTGCCCTGTGAATATTTCTGGAATATCAAGTTTAATCTTCCTTGGTGAGTGCTACATTTCTTTTTTAACAGTGGTCTCTGAGGCTCTAAGCCAGATGGAATACTGTGGGACTTTTCCCAACTAATGGGGAGTCAGTGAGGGTTACATTTTGGTCTTTGGATATCCTTTAAGTCTGCAGCCCTCAACTCCCCGGCTGCAGTAGGTACTGGTCAGTGGCCTGTTAGGAACTGGGCCGCACCTCACCTCCTGAGCTCCACCTCGCCCTAACCCAGCTATCCATGGAAAAATTGTCTTCCATGAAACTGGTTCCTGGTGCCAAAAAGGTTGGGGACCGCTGCTTTAAGTCATCTTATCATAGCCTTGACTAACTCATCTTGAGGGCCACCATGTACTAGGCTCTGTGCTGAACCCTCCAATATATTATTTCTTTAATCCTTACCGTAGTCCTGTGGGTGTAATTGCTATTATGATTCCAATTTTACAGATTAGGAAACTGAGGTATTGAGAAACTAAATAATTTCACTGAGAACCATAGGTCACATATATGATGTACTAGGATTCCAAATCCTGAGGTCTGACTCTAGAATGTAAAATTTTAACCACTATTTATAGCACACCCTGACCACTATGCCAAAAATCAGCTCTTGCATTTGTACACTGTTATTCCATTTACAAACTGCTTTCACAAAAAATCTGTTATTTAACTGATTCAATACCTCTGTGATAACATTGGAGCACACTTATTTCATCCCTATTCTTACTATTTATATTGCTCATCCTCTCTTATAATCTCTTATGCTGCTGATAAAATGTTATGTAAGTAATATATAAATGCATTCTCATTGTTAAAAAAGAATCCAAGGTGCCAAAGAACACAGGATAAGGAGAAAATTCCCCTCCCTAATCTACCCCAACCATACTCCCTTCCCTGGAGGTAATTACTGCTATACTCACATGATGAGTAAGTATCCTTTCACACCTGCTTCTAAGCATGAACAAGTATGTCACATACACATATGTGTGTGTGTGTGTGTGTGTATGGAATCCAAAATGCTTCAAAATCCA